TTGCGTGTGGCATGAGCTGGGCTAGCGTTGCAGGCCTTGCTCACGTTCCCAAGCCGGATAGATTCATATCTTCAGACTTTGGCAGGGGCTTGACATCGGCAAGCCACCATGGACAATTCTCCAGAGCCCGTGGGGGATAGAATCTCCGCTCGTGATTGTCGAAAGACCCACACAACTTCTCGAAATGGCCAACTTTGTCTGTAGTGGAATTACTGAAGCACTTGATGCTTCATGGCAGCTCCATGATTTGAAGATTCGGGAGGATCACCTAATTGAGTTGGCAAGCTTGTCCCCCGCCATCATCTGAACTACAGTCGCCAGTCTGGGTCTAAGCGCTCCGGCTACTGCTGAATCTCCGCAATTCTTACCCAGTTGGCAGCAGCATAGCATATCCACGGAGACAATGGCCGTGACGAGACCCTGCAAATCTACCGGATGGGAGAAGAGGAGCACAGCTAGGAGGATGCTCTTGACTCGCCATCAGTTTCGAGCCCGGGTGCCTCTAAGCAGGTGCCCTCAGCGTGTGGGCAAGCCCCGTGCTGGCCGTGAACGCTGCCAGACACATCGAAGCCGTCGCAAGGCCTGGCTATCTGCACCAACTGTGCGAAGCACAATGTTCATCACAAGTTCCCCTGCGAGGAATCGTATGATGCATGATGGCGCTGTCGCAGCTTTTGCCTGACCCAGGTTAGCACTTCGTTGCGTCCTATACAGTATGCACCTGAGAAAACAGGCCAGGCCATCGACATGTTGATCTCGGTGTTGTCGAAACCGCAGGGCTCCGACTTGCAGCCTACAGTAAGGAATCTGGCAACAAGGACTCGCCGATTTCTCAGCTTAATCTCATTATCCGAAAATGACAGGCTTCCTTGCATGTTCTGCATTACTTGACACAGTGACCTATCATGATGTTGGCTACAGTACCTCAGTGTACCTCGACAATTGAAGACTCGTTGACTCCCACTGGCCGGCGAGGCCCCGGCACGTGAATGCGCTGGTGCGAATGGGGTGACTGCCCTTTGTGGCAAGTGAGCACCTCGCATCATGGACAACCCCATCTAAATTACATTGTTTGCTCTTTTGAGATGCCATATGATGGCATGCAGTGGAGATGATTTGATGAACAATGGCAGCAGCATGCTGTCAAACTAGTTCCTTGCCTTGCTTCACGGCATCAGACCGGCACACCAGATCAAGATGATAAGACAGGTTGCGTGTAATCAGTGGTCAAACAGCTCAAACACAAGCATTTCTGGCCACTCTGGGAGCAAACAATTCCAACAAAAAAGTAGTAATTGCTAGGCTTAGGTGTGAGAATCGCTGCAGCGCTATTGCCGAGGCTGGCACTTGAGGTAGCACAGTTTCTCGAAGTACCTCAGCTAGCTGCTTCGCAAAGGAAGTTGCTGCGGGAATGTACACAACAACTTCAAGCCTCATGTCAAGGCAGCACGCTAAGCTGACGCGTCGCCTCAATTTTGTTCAAAGGGACCAACTTTTTGCAACCAATGCAATGACACCCCATGGACTCCTTCCCGCAATAAGACTTTTCGGCAACATCCTGTTCTACACAGTCGCCTGGGCGTCCGGCTCCTCATCATCTGCGCAGATGTTGCCGTCGTGCATGTCCCTCTGGCTTTGAAGGTCTGAATTGTACTTATCGCGCTTGTTGAATTTGATTTTGCTCCACACACAAGCGTGTTGACAAACGTCTCTCCGAAGGTTCAGAACCATGACCGTACGGATGACTGTCGCTCAGGAACGAGATTCTAAGCGAGACGGCAAGGTTGCGTGTTGGTTTGCTGGCAGTATATTGGGAGCGCTGATACAGTGCAAGCTTCGGATCCCGTTTGTGGGCTCGCGTGCCTGGCAGTAGAGGGAAAACAGATGATTACATTCAGCAGAGCCCGCCTATGTTCACGGGGTTGTGACACAAGAAGTGGTACTGTAGGTGGGACGGCTGCCAAGATAAATTCGTTGACATGGGATGCGTGTTTGGGACCGTCGGGTCCTTTATGAAGCAGCATGGAAGTCAAAAAGCACACATCGTGGACATAGTAGATTGCCGAACATCATGTATCGAGCCGACAATTCACACCTTCCCTACACTGTGCTTCTCTTCAAACGAGGCAGTCCACTCACCGGCCCAGGCAGCCAAATCGCACTTAGGGCATGGCTCCTCGGGAGCCTGCGGAACCTGTCATCTGGGAAGGCTTTCTTGGAATGGTGATTGGAGCACAAAGGAGCACTCGTTTTGGCCTCACCTAACGCAGCCCCTTCTGTAAAAATAAGTGATATGAAGTGAAGCTTGCTGTTGAACTATCACCAAGTCCCATGTTGAGGTAACGTTGCAACTCATTCAATGACAAGACCCTCTTTCATGTCTCGGCAAACGTCTCACAGAATTCCAGGTCGATGTTGTTTGAAGACCCTCATTCATATGTCTCGTTTTGGGGTCTTAGCACAGTCCATACCAACCCCTGCAAATCAATTCCTAGAGCAGTCAGAACTAAGGGAGTGTTAAAGCGGACGTCTATTCTGCGCAGGGTGCAGATTAAATATTAAAGCAGGTGCCACATTCCGTCTAATATGAACATGTGGCATTCTACATGATGGGGCCACAAATGCGAGCCTGCCCTTGCTGTTTGCTGCTGCAGCTGCGGCTGCCGTAGCAGCCCACAGAGCAAGCAGAGACATGTCAGTCTCGAAGCTGCATGCTGCCGCTACCTTTCGTTCCTTAATGACTGGAGTTCAGTTGAAATGATACAGGCAGGCACTCTTTCTCGATCCTCAAGGTCCTATACATACAGAACCGTCACCCAATCCGTCCTTTAGCCACAATGTCACAAAATGCAACAGCAACGAACTGCCGTGAATAATGCTATGAACACACTACAACTTTAGGCGGCACATCGTCTTTCAAGCTTCCAAAGGAACGAGAACTTGCAACACCATGCAACAACGTCAGCAGTGCCAACTGGAGCAACAACGGTACAGTCAGTACAGCTGATTGAAGCTCTCGTGACTTGGGGGGCGTAAACCATGTTGAGCTTATAATTGCCTGCAATAAGCTCTATAAACAGCCTCCACTATCCTTACTCCCAACGTCCTGAAAATCTGCAGCTACAAAGCTCCCTATGCCCACGAAGGAAACGGCTGCCTCGGCCGAAACTGCCGCCCCACCCTGCGGTGGCTGACCTGCCACAAAAGGCGTCAACCAGACACGGATGAGCTTCAAAGTGGAACCTTCGGGACCAAGCTGTGGAAAAAGTTCCCGCAAGCCACTGTCGCTGGGAAACATCACTCCAGAAACGAGCCGTGGGGGAAATTCAGTCTGCAAAGAGCCTCGCCCTGGAAGCCCTGCAACTCCCTGCAGCACTGAGAAGCTAACCATTGAAGAGCCAGGCATCGAGATGCTGGCAGCGTGGGGCATCCAAGATGTTCGGGAGTGGGAGTACCAGCGCTTATTGTTATGAGAAAATCGCTGTCCCATTGCTCAAGGCTTAGGGCTTCTGGTTTGGTGCAGTAAACGCATTACCCCACATGTTCACCTGGACCGCTGGCCGGTGGCTGAAGACTTCACCATACCGGCTAGCAGACGTCTTTTTGCGGCGCTGAGCGAAGAGAGGTGCTTGGCCTGTGCCTGAAATGCAGCAACCTAGCGCATGGCTATCACAGCTTCCAACCTCATACTTACGAGTTGAAGGTCTTCCCTAGCCCGAAACATCACAAAACACGCCGCCACAGAGGCAAACCCTTCTTCGCCCGTTGTCTTAACCGTGGACCCTGACTTGAGATCAGTTGCATCCCTAGCAGGCCCTAGCGACATGATGGCAAGTCCAAAAACCATTGACAGACTGAACTCAGCCCTGCGTTTGTAGGGGCTGTGTTGCGCTCAGAGTGCCTCAATGCCGCACAAAAAGCTTATAAAGTCGGGATTGCAGGGAAAGTGGAATGGTCAGGCTGTTGGTCCGGGTTCTCAATCTTCTAGACACCCTGAGCATTCCAGGAGCACAGGCTCCTGAGTCTCAGGTACAGCTGTGGTTCTCACGGCGCCGTGGATTCGCAAATGGATGTAGGATCCCATGAGAGGTTGCAAATTTAATGTGATCTAGGCTGCAAGGATGACTGGAACAACGTACAAGGAGTAATCCTTTAAGGAATCAACATACAAGGAGGGTTCCTTTAAGTTTGGCTGCAAAGTCGACATCACTTCACGCGAATCGCAGCTAGCATAATTTGTTACACGGCACATGTCCGCTGTACAAGTTGTAGGTCAATGAACTCACCAGTCAAGCACCAAACCTCCTAGCACCTAGACTCTATCCAAGACTCTGAACTCTGAACTCTGCCGGAAAGGTCACGCCTAGCTGGTCTCAGCCTCTTGGTGGGATCCTCTGCGACAAAAACGATGCAAGTGCTGGCTGCTGGCTGGACCATGCCACAGGGTAATGATGAGGACCTGCGCCACCCTACCTCTCTGCCGCCAGCTTGAGGGTTTGTGGTGCCTATGTTATTCGCATTAAAAGGACAGGTAACCGCCCACACCTGCAAACGTTACAGAAGTCAAGGCTCATCTATTGTAGATGACAAGCTCCTTGTCCCAGAAGTGAAAAATTCAAGGCGTGGCCCAAGATGTCAATCCTAGAGCTTTTCTGCTTCCTTGCCTGCTGCTGCAGCATTGCTTCATACATCTCCTCGGCCCTGATGTGACGCATGAAGCTGGAACCAGCAACCATCAATGGTGAGACCGGCACTTTGACTTCTTGCGTCTGTGCAGGAATTTCTCGGGCTGACGCTCGCACCTCAAGGAGGTTGGACCTTCTAGGGCCAGAAGGCCAGAAAATCACATAGCAAGGATGAGGTTTATGCCTCTAAGGTGTCGCCCCGGGCAGGGGACACCCTGAACGTGCTGCATGACATCTTGTCTCCAACGCCTGGAGGCATCGCACTGTCGTCAAGCCCGGAGGCTATACATCCTAACCTAGTGGCCTACAAGCGGCCTACAAGCGCTCGTAAAAGAGGAGATACGCCTCCTGTGACACGACGTCCGACTCACTTGCTGGAGTGACTCGAGCCTTGTGCGAAGTGATGGGCATTTGGTTGGCAAGTTGCAAAGTGGTAGGGTGAACATCTTGCAATTGGCTCCAACTGTGCCTTGGTTTCCTATCGGAAGAAGCCGATGTCATTTCCCTGAGGCAAATGCCACCTTAAAACCACCTCCACCAAACCTTATTCGGTCGAATGCGTGTCCTATCTCGTCATCCACCGGGAACGAGGTGTAGGCAAGGCACATCATTGAAGAGGTACCATTTCCGGTCGGCGCCTTCACCCACTTTGCAGTACGCAGTGTAGTGTCCGTAGGAGAGGCTGCCGGAGTGGTTCACAACAGCGTAAAGCCTGTATTGTTCTCCTGGAAGGGCATGTTGGCTACATCAATCGCAAGATGCCGGGAGCGATTTCCGACTCAAAGCAACATCAGCAGCACTGCTCATGAGTCTGCTGGCACTGCTCGCAATACCCCTGTCTCCCCTAGGATCAGATACTGCGTGTCCCGCAGAAAACCCATGTCCTTTGGCTGGAGGACCTGGCAGCCACTGCGATAAGTCCAGCTCGAAGGGAAATCGCACGAAGGTATTGTCCTGGAAGTCTGCGGTGCAAAGGGCGACACAGTCCCGTATGGTGGACGCACGAGAAGGCAAGTAAATGTCATTGAAAACCCAACAAGAAGATAAGATAAGATAAGTCTGGTGCTGCTCTATATCTTCGGGAGCAACGAAACCGAACCCAGTGCACCGGCAATGCCAAGTTTATAGCCCGGCCTTCTCAATACTGGAAGATTCGGCCACGAATCTCTTCAAGTGGATGATCCTCAGAAACGAGAACTGAGGAAAGGACATTTGGGCCTAGAGTGGATGATCTGAGCGAGAGCCTTGAAAGTAAACTGTAAACAGCCCTTGTGGGATCTTGGAGCACAAGTTTGATGGCGTCCCAGGTCGACACAATTTAATTTGGCAGCGGGTGTGTGTCTAAGCAGCACAGGTAGACAACTTATACGCTATGTACCTCAAACCTTCCACGATGTACTCACAACAATCGCACACGATGGCCCGGTCCATGGGATCGTACCTACTGCCTGCCTCGTCTATTATTATCGTAGAACAACTCCTGCTAACACAAGGAGCACAATTCTCACTATGCGGCTGCGTGACTCCTCTCCGAACCCTGTGCCATCCCGAATGCCCTGGCCTATGTCAGGTTCCCTTTGAAAACTAAACTCAGCAGTCTTGCGATACGGTTATTTCAAGTAGGCACGGATGGCTGTGAAAACTTGCTAGCACACAAATCCGTACCATGGCCAGATGTCCTTCGCTTTAAAGTAAGCCCTCGTCAGAAGTTGCCACGTATGGGAACCCAAGTCTGAATACATTCAAAGCGTCAAGCACTCTGGGGCAGTCCAGAGTTCAATCTTCTTCAGGGAACGTTCACGTTGCTGCGTCTGGTCACACCAGACCCAATCATCTTGGCAAAGCTCTTCCTGCGCTGTGCAGGAGGGCTACCAGATACCAGCTCAAGAACAAGCCTCTGTTGCAGACCCACAGCAGAACCTCCTGCTCAGCTAACGAGCTCAAATGCCTCCCAGAAATCCAGATGGCGCTAGCCCTGCCACCCCACAAGCCGTTCTCGAAGGCTCCTGCTTTGAGAAAGCGTGCAGGCAATCCTCTAAGGATCTTTCCGAGTGTGAATCTTCTTCCTCAGCCAAATCTGCCACATGGGGCGGAACATGGTTGAACAACAAAGGCTGCCACCATCACAAGGGCGATTTCCCAGGGTCAGCTTTCGTAAGCAGACATGTGCCGCACAAAAGTTTCTGATAACAGCTTTTTACGTGGGAGCTCCTTATGGGAAATATGACCTCTGCCCCTTTGAGTCGGCATCATTCAACAAGTCTCACCTCAAGTTGGTGGCATCTGCTCTTGTTGAACAGGTTGGGTTTGAAATGTTGCGTCAAATTGGGATGGCCCTGGGCCACACGCACCCGAAAACCAGAGAGATCCCTGAGCCCGCTTTGGGCACATGAACGCTTGCTGCGTGATAGACAGGGGCCGAACATCCAAAACATTACCAGGTCGTGCTCCAGAGGCAGAAACGCCTTCATACCCTGCAAACCAAGCTATGTTGAGCCGGACCCTGGAACCAGCGGCCTAGCTGCTGTGCAGCATTGGAAACAACTTGTCATGGCCCGGCCACCTGTAGGACCTATGAAGCCTAAGTTATTCCTGGGCACATCCCATCACGCGGCCAGCCAATTGGCCAATGATCCCAAGCCGCCGACCCCCCAAGAAATGAAAGATTCCTGCCTGATGAGATTCAGTAGACGAATTAATGAAGTTGAAGCTATATCAGACCTGCGCTTCGCACACTTGTAGTAAAAGTCATGTGTTGAAAATGGTTGAAGTTGCAAGTCTTTGAACCCTCTGCGATTCCCAGTCCCAATCATTACAACAGGATTCCGAGCGCTTGGAATTTCACGGAGGCATCCTCGTTTGGAAAGCTACAATTATGATGACTTCACGTTCTGCCGTGCACGTGTTTTGGACCGTGGCTCCCCAAAGCCGAACAAGTCATCATCAGATATGCGAAAACTCGAAGATGCAACAACACCTTTAGTCCAATGATGTCCTTAGCAGGGTGGCCCCGCTTACGCTGGGCAATCTTCATTTGGAAAGGCCCGGATGGGCTACAGGACTCCCTGAAGATCATAGCACCTCGGTTGATTTATCTTTTCTTTGTTTCTCCTCCTATGTAGTGGTTGCCCAAATAGGTACGTAAGTCATGATAGTGCAGCCCCTCCAGGCAGGATGAGGGGCTAGGCCAGGAATCGGCAGCGTCAGGTAGACCATGGGCTCAACCTTCTCCTTGGTTCTGCCCCGCTTTCTTGTTGACATGTGTTCGTCAGATGACACACTAATACCGGTCACCAGGCTGCTTTGAAAGTACGGCGTGGCTTGCGGGAACCGTCCATCCCATTGATTTCCCTGAACGAACTTCTTCACTGTTTCTTCGCAGCTGCTGTGTTAAGCGCATTGAGGGCCATGACCTAAGGAAAACTACTTAGACTTGCGTTTTCTTGGCTGGATTGGCCTACTGTAACGGGCTTAGAGTGGTGCGGGATTTGCAGAGAAGTCCCCCAAGTCCAAGTCTCAGATCGCGCCCCGACGTCGCAGAAGGTCGTGGTCGAACGCACCTTCGTGTGATTCATGTGCAACTACTCCTCATTGGTGACTGGTACCCAGACCCGCTTGAACCTGAAAATGTCTAGGTTGCAATTTGAAAGCCTGGTTTGCCCCGAATAACCAGGCTTCTCGCTAAAAACTCGGTTCGCCGAAGTAGCAGTTCCCAACCCGTAAAAAGCTGTAAAGAAACCGTAAACAGACCAGTAAATCTCCCGTAGAAACCCACATTTAACCCATGGGTTTGTACTTAGCTTGGACCAGGAAACTGATTTTCTCGAGAGGAGCCTGTTTTGTTAGCAACCTGCTAATTTTCAAGTTCGAGCTTCTTTAGGTACACCTACTTCATGACGGGGGAAGTCTTGACCCTTACTACCCTCATGGGCAACAAACCCTTGGACCAGGGATGCCAGGGGAGTAGACTCAGGCTCAATGGGAGTTACGTGAGGATTTGAGCTGAAAAGTGAAGGTCTTGCTGGGATATTCTCACAGATCTGAATTTCATGAGCAACTTCAGGATGTAGTCGCAGCCCCAACTTTCGTACATATCTTCGCCCGAACGACACCACGCAAGTTGACAGTGACGGGCAGTCTGTAGTACCTGGAGATCTGTAGCTACAGTTCTCCCTGAAAGCCTAGAAGTGCACAAAGCTGGTGCTTCTCAACCGTCAAGCCCACTGAGAGGGCGAGAGAGGAGAGAGCAAGGTAGAGATAGAGACGAGCGAGAGAGAGAGAGAGATCAAAGAAAGAAGGACAGAATTTTCAGAAAGACACAAAGAGAGAGAGACAGAGAGAAAGAGAGCGCGCCGGACTAAGGATTATGGAGCTGAGCCCGCTTGACGTACGGCGATGGTCAAAGCAGCGAAGTAGTGCTGGGACCAGCCAACCCAATGGAATTGGATGGAATTTGCCCTTCACCATGGGATTGTAGTACCAGGAGCGGCGCTAGTCATTACCACTGTGGCTTTTATTTTCCATGGGAATCTGGATCGAAGTTCTGCTGCCTGGAAGTGGAAAATATCCATGATCTTCGAGTCGGTTTGTCTGCTCACAGCATCCTGCCAGGATGGTTCCACGAAACAATCACTTAAACCGATATATGAAGTCACATGCTTCCACATCCCGCATGCATACGCTCCATAGCTGATCTGGCTACCATTGTGTGCAATTGGAGAGGCTACACGTCTGGGGCTGCCGTCCTGGGACCGATTCCTGATGTAACCTGCATTGCGTCGCTGCCTTATCCTCCGAAACTAACGGACGTTTCAATTCTTCCCTACACATTCCCAAAATGTTCCCAAACGGGCAGATCACAAAAGTTGGCTTCAACAGCGTGTTAAAGTAACCTGTCACAAACCTGAATTCGGTAACTACCTCAGACTATCTCAGACTAGAACCTCCTAGAACAATCACAGAGATGTTTTCTGCGTAGCGGATCGTTCGGATTTGAAGTAGCACAGACGGTTTCAGACATCATATCTTCGCCTCGACAGCTTTGCCGCACAAATCTTATCGCCACCCTAAAAGAGGTACTGCTGAAAAGCCCTTCCTGA